TTCCTGGTCTGTGCTGTCAGTTATAGTTCTTGGAGAGAAATCAGAAATGAATAAAATTGAAATTGGCAGGGAAAAGCTGTATAATAATTAGAATTGGCCTAGAAAACTTACAGTCACTTTATCTCTGCTTCAAACTGCTGAAAGTTTTTACCGTTTCTTTCTTATTTGTTTATTAGATTGAATGAATGTTACACTCGTGATGCTGGCTGGTAATCTGACCTTTTGGACCAGTAAAATGGGTTTTAAGCCACAAGATAATATTGCAGATTACAACAAAGATGGCAACCACAAAGAGTATTCACTATAGAAAGTGAATCCCTGAATTGTGCAAATCCTTTCCTTTTTACTGGCTGAATTTTAGTCCCTTGTCCGCTGCTGCTTGGCATAGAAACAAACAGCTGATGCAGCGTAAGCTGCTGTTTGAGGCCCACGCTGCTTGTCAATGCAGTTCAGGCCATCTTTGTTAAATCTGCTCGGGTGGGGAGGTGGCCTGTCTGTGCAGATCTGTGTCTGTGTGTTGGGTGTTGTCATGGCTGCCACCCTAAAAAAAGCCATGCATGTAGATCTGTGTTCCTGAGAAGATGTCTGTTATGCTTAAAGTCATGTGATGAAGGAAACAAATCCTCCGCTGATTGCCTATTTTTACTTAAGACATACAGCRTTATGTTGCAAGAGTTGAAAAACATTCGATAAACAACTTTATAATATTAAAATATTCTTGTTTAACAAAAACCCAATGAAAAATTCAACACTGTGGGGAAAACTAACACCATTATTTATTAGCAGTAACACAAATTATTAAAATCAAAGCACTTTGCTCACTTGTCTTTTTTTTCTTTCTTTAAAGTTCCMACCTCAGTCTTTCTGGACTTTGACTGAGCCACTGCAACACCTTGATTATTTATCTTTTAGCCACCATGTTGTATATTTGCTGATGAGTTTGGACTCATTGTTCTGTTGCATGACTCTGAGTCAAGCTTCAATGGTTAAACAGTTCATGAACTGTTTCCTTCGGACGAAAAGGGGTTCTCAGACTTTTAGCTTCTTTGCCACTTAAAATTAGCAGAAACTTGTGACTTTGACATTGCTGCTTGATTTATACAAACAACAATAAGCTAGTAAAAATAAAAGTATAGCGACCAACATAAATGACCCCAAATACTGTTTTTGTTTATTCATTTTTGAATGCTTTTTTTAATCTGTTGCAACATTTATAACTAAAATAAGTCAACAGCAGCAATTTTCCTTTCAGGTGACTTCTGGAAGTCACATGGAGAGACCTCAGTTGAGCTTTTATGACCTACTTTGAGTTCTGATACCATCTTTATGAACCACCAATCCAAAGGTTCTTTATCAGCTTAACGTCTGCATGGTGTTCAGGTCTTATGGCTTTTAGCATGTGCACATGTTGTGAGATGGGGAGGCTGTGGCAGAGTGGTTAGAGGAGTTGTCCTGTAACCGGCGGGTTGCCGGTTTGATCCCCCTTTTCATCCATTTCAGTCATTGTATCCTTGGGCAAGACACATCACCTGCCATGTCTGTTGGTGGTGGTCAGAGGGACCAGTGGAGCAGCATGGCACCCTCGTGTCTAGCTGTGTCCAAATTCAGGGGCTGCGTCCTCCGAAGCCCGAGTCTGTTTGCGTCCCAGCACTGCGCTGGAGGCTGTCCAAATTCAAATTCTTCCAATGCATCCGACAAATACGTCCTCCTTTTTCCCCCCGATTTGAGGGACGGGTCTGTTGGATCCTTCTCGGCCCACCCTATCCCATAATGCATTGTGCCGACCGAAGATTTTTTAGTCGTAATGGCAGACGAAGCAAGAGAAAGGAACAGTTTTAAATAAAAATCTGGTGGTATAAAAATGAAACGTTTCAAGCGGTTGTGTTGTTAATGCTTTTGTCATTTGTTTGTGTTGTTTTTTAAATACAGTATTATTCTTGTCAGCAATCAAACGAGCTGGTAGAGCGAAATAAACATGTTCTTTTAAATAGTTCTTTAAATGTTGCCTTTAAGCTAATATATTGTTTTATGATATTTACAATACTAATAAATTATTTTTCTTATTTCAGTCTATTTTTGCTACTGTTTAGCATTGTCATGGTTGTTGGGCAACATGGCATACACTGGGGTAAGGGCAGGAATAAAGCAAAAGCCTAGACTATCCAAATTCACAGCAAATTTTTTCCGTTCTTCACGGTCGACCAAGGACCGTCACCTGGCCCACCTAGACCGGGTAGGTGGTCACCTAGACCGGGTCCTTTGAAGGACACAGTCCCTGAATTTGGACACAACCTCTGTCAGTCTGCTTGGCAGCTGTGGCAACCATCAGTGTGTGAATGTGTGTATAAATCAATAATGTAACGTGTCTTTGAGTGTCTAGAAAAGCGCTATGTAAGAT